AATTTATAAATAAATAATTTTAAATAATATAATTAATTATTTAAAAAAATTATAAACTAATAAAATTATAAGATGAACGCAAAATTTTGGATGGTAAAAATAGCCTACCCGTCTTTTGGCAAAATAAATCAAATCTAATAATGCAAAACATGTTACGAGGGCCCACTAGGTGCTAGACCTCTGTTTGGCCACTGAGAATATGAAGGAAAACTAGCACGATGGGACGGAGGAAAGCAGAGAGAAGTGGAAAGAAAATGAAGATTTTTTTTTTCCATACCATTTTTTCATTTGGTTAGATTAAAGTTAAATAAAATAAATTAAAAATTAAAATATTTTAATATTTTAAAATATCAAAATATTTAATTATAATTATTAAATATATAAAATATAATATATATTTTAATTTTATTAAATTTATTATATAATTATTATTAAATCTATTAAGATTTCTCCGTCCTATTTCTTCCTCTCTCTGCAGTCAACCAAACTTTGTACTAAAGATATCGAGGACAAGAGACAAAGTCAAGTGCTAAGAAAATTCAATGTTAAAAAAGTTCAAAACACATGCGAAATGGCCACCTAAAATTGAAATCTCTCCTTATCCTCAAAAAAGAGGTTAAAAATCAAAGAAAGAAGCGTATAGATATACTGCTCATTTTGTGTTCATATCAAAAGAAAAGAAAATTTGAACCGAAGAAAATAGAATAAAAATCTGGAAGAATCCAGTGACAACTACGTAATCCTCCTTTCCAAACAAAGTTCTTCCTATTCGCAAAAGCAAAGTAAAGCCCACCTTTTCGATCGGCAAAATATTTTAAACTTTATAAACTATTAATAATTGGTTTGAGTAGGAAGAAATTCGAATTTAGGAATTTGATTTTGAGTTTTGTTAATAAATCAGTTATCAGTGAAAAAGTTTCTTTCTTATAAGGTTTTATAAATATGATAAGATTTAATTTTAAATTAATTAAAATTTTAATATAAGTACAAGATATAAAAAAATTAATAAAAAAATATTTTAAACTTTCAAGTTTAAATTATTTTAAATTTTAAAAGATTAATTAATTCTCTTTATTTAACAATTTTATTTACAATTTAAACGGTGAAACGACCTACTCTTTTTTTAATTTCTCCGAAATCCACGAGAATTTCTTGCGATTTTCTTAGCAATCAAACGGTCTAAAGGAAACAGAACAAATAAGGGAAAGAAAGAAGCAAAAAGAGATACTGGAGAGAACCTGGATTTTGAGCGTTTTGTTTTCCGTCTCCTTTCGCTTGTCAAGATCGGGGATAAACCGGAACCGCCGGCTACGATTTCTGACAATAGTAACAGCTGCCCTCCATCTCCGCCGTGCCTCCTCTGACTCATGCTTGTGATTTAAGTCGAAGTCCTTCAAGCTCAAGAACCTCTTCATATCGTTCTTCCCCTCCTCAAACACAGAGCGTCGCAGTACAGCGAAAAAGGTTCTCTCTCACTCGAACTTCTCGACTCTCGCTTTTTCTCAGTTCCCGTAATCGATCTGAAAAGGCAGACGGCCTGAGATTGTTCTTTTCAGAGGGAGGGGAAGCGCGGAAAATCGCTAGCCAACGCACCAATGGGAGAATCTGAAGTGCCGGGGAGAATTTCTCCTTATTGTCTGCTTATATAATCTGTGCTCTTTTTTATTTTGGACAGGAAATAACCGTACCGAACCGTACGGGAAAGAAATAACAATAAATTATTAAATTTCTTTATAGTAGTTT